GCATTCCCTGCACAGCGGGTCTGCTCGAGTGGGTCTGTAGTGTGGCTGCAGGCTTCTGTTTGCTTTTTAGCTTGTGCTCCGGTGTTGCCAGGCAGTTTTATTGGTACAGGTGGCATTCTTGATCCAAGGACCCCGAGTTTCACACTCCCAACACAGGACGAGAACATTCATTTCCTGGGGCACCTGGGTGGCTCAGTTGGTTAAATGTCCGACTCTTGATTTCGGCTCAGGTCATGATCTCATGGTTCTGTGAGCTGCCAGCACGGAGCCTGCATGGGACTCTCTCACCCCCTCTTGCTCTCTGCCCTTCCCCTGCTCTCTCTCTCTCTCTCTCTCTCTCTCTCTCAAAATAAATAAATAAACATTAAAAAAAGAAAGAAAAGAAAGTGTTTCCTGAGCACCAGTTATCTGCTAGGCACTGATGTCGGCCCTGGGGACCTACAGAGGACACACAGCAAAGGTGAGCAGAAGAGACAGCAGGCAGGGAAACACGCCTATTTACAATGGAGGGACCGGGCTGCCCCCACTCTTCCCTCTGAACCTGCCCCGTCACTCGGCCAGTGTGGCCTCAGCACAGCCTCTGGGGACATTCTCTGCATGACGGCTGGACAGTCAGTAGTCTCTCAACCTTGTTTCAGACACTCTGCTCATCTTTGGAGTTGCCGCTACGTCCTCAAGGACCCTTAAGGGGAAAGACCAGGTCTGACACGAGATACACCTCCGAGCTTTGGTAAATACTCTGGGCTGCTGGCGGTGGTGGCAGCTGGGTCGTTTCCTGAGAAAAGACCAAAAGGCAGCTTTCCCTCCTGGGCCTGGCCAGGATCCACAACTATCGAAAGAAGTGATGTGAAAGATCCAATTTGCGTTTTCCAGGTAGAGTTTCTACCCCCTGGCCTTCCCCCCCCTGGTCAGTGTTCTTGGCAACGTCCCACTTGACCTAAATTCTAGGGCTGTGCCAAGGCGAGCTGTGAGCGCCCCGGCACCCCCTACCCCCTGCAAGAGGAGGGAGGGCAGAGGACTCGGAGGCCTGAGAGCCTGCTCACGTCCGCCCCTCTGTCTCGCCTGCTCAGGAAACGTGTCATTACAAGTGACTGGGCGGAGGTGCATCTTTGCCATCAGAGCCAGTGAAGCAGAGATAACCCTGGAGTGACACTCGCAGGCTCTCTTAATTCCACAGGATACACCGCAAAGAGCAGTGCTCCCCCAAAGGAGAGCGCCAAATTGCTGTCCAGAGGAGCCGCTCTGGTGGAACGCAGTCTGTCACGGGCCTGTGTGCACACGCGTGTTATTGGCAGATGGAGATCACGGCCCTGCCGTCGGATCGGCAGGACAGGGCGGCAACAGACCGCTGGGTGCCCTCTGCACTCCCTAGACAGGCGTCCGCCCGGATGGTGGGCCTGTGACCCCACGGGAGGCCTCTGAGTCTGATCAGTCCAGCTGCAGGTGTCCAGGGAGAGTGCTAGGTCCCCAGACGAGGCTGTGGCCACAGGTCTTCACATCGACTGACGGGGCATCCCACAAATCCCAAGGCTCTGAACTAACAAGCTTCTTCTGGAGAAAGAGACCCCCATGAGCTGCCCTCTGGGGTAACAGGAGACCAGCACAATCCAAGCTGCATGGGGGAGCCCCAAGCATCCCACTTACTCCCCAAACTTAGAACCACGTGCTGATTCCCCCGCTGCTGGCAGTGTGAGGTGCTGAAATATGGATTCTGGAAGTGGCCAAGGAAGTGCCTGGGAAGGAAGATGTCTGGAGGGAGTTAGGGAGATGGGGAGGTACGCGGGGAACAGACCTGCTAGGTGCGAATCCCAGCCTGGGGCTCTAGGCCTCACTTTCTGCACCTGCACAACTGGGAAATGCTGCCCACGGGCACGGAGTGGCAGGATGGGAGAAAGGGCTGCAAAGCATGCAGCACTGAAAGTCACTGGGAGTCTCAGCTGACGGCACAGCGAGTGAGGCAAAGGCCTGGGCAGGAGGGTGGGACGCGGGCTGGGATTCCAGATCGCAAGCACAGATGGCCGTGGCGTCTTCTTATTGAAACCCACAGAGTGCCAGAGGCATCTAAAGGGGCCAACAACGCTGACCTATTCCACACGTGCTGCTGCCCTCGATGGGACAGGCCTGCGGGGTCCCTGCACCGGGCTGCAAGGAAAGGGGACGGTTCCAGCAGGGGTCTGGGGGCACCAAATCACAAGACGCTGACCAACTGCTGGTCAGGCAGAGCCAAGAGAGGGCTTTCCGGGAGAGGGCCGTTCGATGTGGGCACCATCATCTGGAGTCAGCTGCCTGTGGACAAGGTGGAGAAGGCCATTCCAAGCTGAGGGAACAACGTGGGGGAAGGCACAGATGTCAGGGACAGAGACCGGGGTGCCTGGGGCAGTGACTGTGGGGGGACAAGCATGCCAGGTGGGCCTGTGGCTCTGAGATTGTGCTGTGGGGAGGCCGTGAACCTCCTTAAGCATCAGGCTTGCCCGAACAGGAAGCTCCTCCACCCAGGCTAATTCCTTCCCTGGGGTGATCCGAGGAGGCCCGTCTGCAATCTACATCCTTCCCTCAGAACTTCCCCACTAGTGTCCGGGGCTGGGCTTGGCAGAGCCCCCGCGATCAGCCCGTATGACAGCCCACCTCGCCCCTGGCCGGCTTCAGTGGACAACCAGTGAGATGTCTCTGGCTGGGGCTGGTAGACACATGGACCATCAAGGTGCCTGTTTACTCTGAGGAGGTTTCCTGGGACACACTCTTGGGGCATCTGTTTCTAGGGAGCGCAGATTCTTCAAGAACCAGGACCTGGGCACCCCAGGTCACACAAACCCGCAGAGGACGCTCCATGTTTGAGCCTCAGCTGAGCCACCCTGCCTGGGGCACCTGACTATGTCCTGTTGTCTCCCAGGCTGTCGAGCCCACCCACACATCATCTATACTTGCTGACTGCTGCCCCTGGAGGCCACGGGAGTGCCGTCTCTCAGCCTCTTACCCCGGTCCCTCGCGAGGCCTGCTGGGTCACAGATGAGCCACCTCTGGAGCAACAGCTCCTGGGCACTGACCCCAGCCAGCCCAGCCTGGGCGGGCACACCTGCACCTGAACACATAGCTTCTTACACAGGTCAGGCAGGAAGCCCCAGAGATCAAGCCTCTGACCTGTGCTTCTATTCAGTGGAAGGCACCTATCCCTAGAGATACCATTTTCAAAGTAAAACCAAAAGCCGAGAAAATAGTTTGTGTTTAAAAAAAAACTGACCAACCTGAAACCACAATTTGAGGTCAAAGTAAATCCTCTCGACCTTCCTTCCCTGAACGAGAAGCATACTGTTGCTCACGCTTGAGCCAGCCACTGCGGGGGGCTCATGTGTCCTCTGCAGGCAGGACCGCCAGCTGCTTTCCTGCTCTGGCACCCCCCCTCCCCCCTGCCACACCGGGCTGTGCCTGGACAGCAGCAGTGTGTGCTGGTCCCCGTCGGACAGCTGGCCCGGGGGAGGGAATCGGAAGGCGGCACACCAAGGCCAAAAGCGACTGAGCACCCCGTGGACCCCAGGGCCCTCCTGAGGTGCAGGCCCGGGAGGGTCGCAGGCCAGGACCTTGGGGGCAGTGGTGGTGCCCCTGCCACCCTGTGTAGACTGCAACCAACGAGCCCCCCCTTCATGTGCTGCTTCTGTTTTCACCACAACATGTACAGTGACCTCCCACAGCTATTTACTGGGGTACGTTTGCCCAGACATCTGCATAAAGGCCTATTCAATAATTCAAAACAGCCAAGCAGGCGGCTCCTTAGCCCTGAGCCTGGGAACGCTTACCCACAGCAGCAGACCTCCCGGTGGCCTCTGTCCCCTACTGGCCACGGGACTCCGGCAAGCACGTCACTCTCCTACCTCCCTCTTTTCCTTGCTTGTAAAACGAAGGGGTTGGACTAATGTCCTTGTGGGTCTCTTCTAGTCTTAATAATAAATTAAAAATCAACTCAGTCTAGGAAACTGCTGAGACGATGGTGGCTTTTCTGGCTGACCGACAGGGCCCAGAGCCCAGCAGCCCTCTCTGTGCTCGCCTGGTATGACACCCGTCCCGGGGAGAGGTTCAGAGTCATGGCCAAATGGCAGCGGGTGCCCAGGCTCTGAGCCCCTGATGGCAGTGAGTGGTGGGTGTGAAGGGGCGTGTGGGACGGTACGCCCCTGTCGTCCTCCTTGCAGGCACACCTGTCTCTTCCCTGGTGTGGCCACCATGGTAGAGGAGAGGCCATGGAGTGGGCTGGGGGTCCTCTGGGGTGGGACCTTGGTTACTGAACTGTTTTGCCTTCTGTGGGGCCTTTCAGGCTGGCTGACTTCTCTGTGCCTCAGAAATCTGACTCTAAGACAGAGAAAAATGCTTTCCACTTATCAGAACGGGAGGGCTGACTGAGATGCAGACGATTCCCAGGTGGCAGGAGTGTGAGCCATAGGAGGGGTGCATCCAGGCACCCGCCAGACTGGCCACGTCCACATGTCTCTCTCAGGGTCCTAGGAGGCATGGTTGTTCCTCCTTTACAGATGAGGAACCAAGGCTCCCAGAAGGTAAGAGACCTGTACAAGGACACAGAGCAGGCCAGGGGCCAGGTGGGCCTCCTACCTGGTGGGGGAGGGGTTTTCACACTGAGTGACCTGCCAACCTGCACCTGACCCTGGACGCCCCCCCCTCCCCCCCCCCCGCCTTCCCCGCGGCTGGGTCTGTGCTGGGCAGCTGACAGTCGGGAGCCTCTCCTGGGGGCTGCTCTGCTTCTCTGGGCTTTTTGGGATCTGCAAGGAGGGGCCAGGCTGCCGGGATTCACGGCGGCACCACCGCGCAGCTCCAGCAGGTGGCACTGGCCCCCTTTCTTCAAGGCCTGTCCGTTTATTGCCAGGGACCCCGTGGGGCTAATTGACAGCCTAACTCTCAGCAGAGAGATTTTCTCACACCACACCGTCTTTATTAGCTCATTCCTCAGATGATTTTTATTAATTTACTCCTGGAGAAATATTCGTTTCCTCCACCGCATGGCTGTCTGCGTGGTGGTGGGAAAAGGAGAGGGAGCGAGCCCAGATCCAGGGAGCAGGGAGGCCGGCAGGCAAGGCGGAAGCTGCCGGGTCTCTGCACGCACAGGATGCAGAGCTGGAGATGATGTGTGAAGCACTACCGGGGAGGGCAGAGGCATTGGGGTGTAGTTTATGTCTCGGGAATGATGACAAACACCAGGCGGCCTGGGCGGCACTCGCCGCTCGTGAATCTCCCTTCAGGGATGAAGAGATCTATTCCCCATGCAGGGCGATTTATAACTGGGATGGGCCTGCAGAAGACCCCGTGAGCTCGGACGCGCTCGGGCTCACACACGCCGACGCAGCCCAGGCTGTGGCCGTGTCTGGGCTGGACGTGTGCCTGCCCGGTGTGCACAAGTCCAGCATGAGGGGAGGCAGTGGGGGGAGGAAGTCCCCATCCAAACCGCGGCGCTGCGTGGGCACCAAGCCAGTCGCCCCTCCCGTCAGGGCTCCATTTGAGGAAGGGAGCTAGGTCACTGTGCACACGGCTGAGCGGGCTAGGCATCCCCACCGCACCACACACATCGGTTTCTCGCACTTTCATACCCAAACATGGAGAGCAGAACAAGCAGGTGGAAACAAGGGAGCAGGGGCCCGATCTCGCTCGAGAGACTAAAATGGGTTCCTGCTCAAGCTTGACAACTCCAGGAACGGCCAGAGCCACCGGGCCTGGAGATTCCATCCCACTGTCCCTGCGGCACGGAGACAGGAACCAGCGACCCAGAGCTGAGTGCAACCAGAAGCCTTCACTGCGTATGAACAGACGGGCTTTGGCTTTCCCCTACGTGCACTTGGACCCTGAGGCAGGCAGGCCTTCGAGGGCAGACCCTGGCGGACTGTGAACAGGACTCCCTCTGGGGGGGAGGCAAGAGGCCCCGGCAGAGCACAGGGGAGCCGCCAGGAAAGCTGCCATTTCATGAAAAGGCAGAGGGGCAAACCAGGGCAAACCAGCACTGCTGGGGCTCTGGCGCTCAAGTGCCAGGAAAATCCACTGCTCAGTCTCTCAAGCAGCGCGTGCTTACTGGTCACCCAGGGTGACTGCGGACGGGCATCAGTGAAGGGAGGAAGCGTCAATCCCCTGAAGACCGAGCAAGGCCTGAGATGGCCAGAATGTGTGCGTGTGCATATGTGGCCTTACAGCCTGGCCGCAGGCAGGAGGGCTGAGGCCACCATGGAGCACATTCTCCTTCCCCACCTCCTTCCTGGGCCCCATCCATGTTTCCCACCAGACACTCGGGGCCTTCCCACCTGTCTGTCTGTCCGGATGTAGGGCTGTGGAGTAAGCTGAACCAGGAACACTCACCACAGGGCACACCCAGCCCTGGCATCTTCAGGACCAGCAGGAGGGAGAGGAGGGGAGGAGCAGGCAGGGAAGTAACTGATGGGGGGCATCCTCTGGGGTGGGTGCCCCTCCTCAGTGCGGTCGGGCAACAGGAAGCCTGCAGCCTGGGGGGTGGCCTGTGTGCTCTGGGGAGCCCAAGGCCTAGAGCTGTGTTGATCTCAGGCCCCGAACTTCCGTCTGGAGTGCGCCCTCTCCCCCCACATGGCAGACCCTGCATGGAGCGCCAGTTTCCAGGGACCCTCCGTGAGTGGACGTGGCCTCCTGGTCAGGGCTGTGCAGGGAGCAGGGAGGAGGAGGAGGCTGCTCCCCGTAGCGGGGAGCCTGCTGCAAGTGCGGCCGCATTTTCTCAGCTGTATTTCCTCCTCGGCTCGGTTAAGGGCTCCTTACCCTCTTGGGATGTCTTCATCGCACATTTTCACTTTCTAACGGCCACTTTGGGTAGCTCCCTCTCTGTGCTCACAGCCGCAGGGTAAGTCAGGCGGCCTGTCCTGGGCCCCGGGGGAGTCCTGCCTCTGTTCCTCTCAGGCCTTGAGAGCCCCTCCACCTTGGTCAGCGGGGAATTCCTCACAGCTGAGCACTGCTCTTGGGAGAGGCCCCCACCAGACAGTGAGCGGAGCCATGTGGCTCCGTCCTCCCTGCCCTCAGCCCTGCCCAGGATGCTTCAAAATCCCCTCCAGGACTCTGAATGCTGAACTGAGTCTTCTGAGGGATGGGAGCCGGCCCGAGATTTGAATAAGTACCTGGGGTTTAAGGTACTAGTGGAAAAAATTAATTGGCAAATCCATTATATTCAAGTAGCCAGAGATGCCTCAATTCAATTTAAAAAGGACTCTGATACCATTCAGTGACTCCTGCTAAGCATCCTCCCATGAAGGGTTGTCTCCTCTGGGAGATGAAGGCTGTCAAATGCATTTTAAGTACTTATTCAATAAGCTGTCGGCACTTTCTGCCTACTCACCTCCTTAATTACCAAGTGGCTGGCTCACCAGGTCTGGCTCCCTCCTCAGGAGAAGAGCAACGAGGCTGGGTGGGCCCAGGCAGGGACCCCGGCTTCCCAGCAATGCTGGCTCCTCTTTAGCTCAAGGACCAGCCTGGGATTCCACGTGGCTTCTCTTCTCTTGCTCTTGGAATGTTGGGTTTGCGGGCAGGTTCACGGCCTAGGTGAATGGCTGTGGCACAAAGCTCTACCAAGAGGGCTTGGGCCCACCCTCCCATGGGAGACACGGCCTCTGCCCACTTGGGGTGCTTTGCTGTGGCCATCTGTCCTTTGCCATAACGTGCATGAGGCTCCATGGCCAAACCTGCAGATGGTCGCCTTGGGAAAACTTTATGCCCAGGCCAGGCTTGCACGGGCTTTACCCGCTGACTACAGACAGCGCTTGGGACAGATGGCCCAAGCCAGGCAGTCAGTGGGGGACAGCTTTATCGTGTACTCTGGGATGGAGAGAAGAAAAGATGATCCTGTGTGTGCTGGCCTGTCCAGCTGATGCGTGTCCCGCAACACAGGAAAACTCTTCTCCAGAGGACCTTGCCCTCATACACAGTTTGTGAGTCAAACCTGTCTGCCTCCCCTGCACCTAACAAGCCTATGAAGTCTCACCTACTAGCTCATAAAGAACCTCCAGGGCCATATTAGTATCGTCCAAAGACAGAAAGTACTACCTCCGGAGGTAGTGAGCTCCCTGTCACTGGAGGAGTTCAAGCAAAGGCAGTGATCATGTGGTAGGGGTGTTAGATGGGTGGTGATCTGGGGACATGAGCATTGTCTCTGGAGACTGACAGATGTGGATCCTAATGCTGCCTCTGTTACTTACTAGCTGCGGGACCTTGGGCAACTAATTTAGCTTCTCTGAGCCTCAGGGCCCTCACCTGTAAAAAGGGGTTGCAATTGTACCCCTCATGGCTGTTGTAGGGATTGACTAAGATAATACATGTAAAGCACTAAGCACAGTGTTGGGAAGTAATCAACAGGCATTCACCACTATCATCATCATCACTATTGTTAGCAGTTAATGTCTGTCTCAATCCTGGCTGGCCTTCCTTCCTTCCTCCCTCCCTTCCTTCTCTCCTTCTTCTACCCATTCTTCCTTCCTCCCTCCCACCCTCCTTCCTCCCTTCCTCCCTCCCTTCCTTCCACAAATAAACAAGTACCTGCACCCACTGAACATAAGGCAGGTGGTGAGGTGCCCCGGGGGATAAAGAGAGAAATCAGATATGATCCAGCCTTGGAGGAGCATGGGGCCTGGGTTGTGACAGGACACGGATATTCATAACTAAAACACAAGGCAAAAGGCGGTGGCTCCTTTCTCGACAGATAGAGTGCCAGGGAATTTCAGAGAAGGAGAAAAGTATTCTAGTTAGGGCAACCCAAGATGGATTTGTGAAAAGGGCTGCTGGAGACAGCACCTCAGGGGAAAGCCTTCCCTGGCCATGTCCCGTGCCCAAGTCAAGGTCCTGAGGTGAGAAGGGGCAGGGCCAGGGTCCCTTTAGGTTAGGACAGAGGGTACTGGAGAATGGAGTGGGAGGTGGGAATGATGGCAAGGCCGGGCCATGAGGACTCAAAGACCAAACCCTGCCACTTCAGTCCCCTGGGACCCCAAGAGAGAAGGTGATTATTCAGAACATGAGCTCCAGCCAGAGCAGGACAGCGAAGACCAGCGGCCCGCAGGCTGGGTGGGTGGTGAGGGCAGTAGCATGGGCAATGGGGGCTCAGACGGCGGGAGGGCCAAGCCCAGCTCTGCGCTGACAGGGTGGGAGACTTGGGCCACTAACTGCTGAGTGACGGCAACCTTGCAAGCATGCCCCTAGGACTGCATTAAATGGCCATCTCAGGGGGACAGGGAGCCCCCAGGAAGGGTCATGGCAGTGGGAACAGACAGAGGGATGTAGACCATAAATGTTACAGGGTTGACCCGGCAGGTCTTGGCAGTGACTTGCATTTGGGAAGAGAGTTCCCCAGGGGGTGTGCGGGCAGGGGGGTGGCCTAGCGGTTACTGGGAACGTAGGAGGAGCCCCTAGGAAGGCTCAGCCTCAGCACCGCACTGGGCATGGGCTTCAGGCAAAGTTGGAGCAGCACTTCCGTATGAAGCACCTGAGGACTCTGCTAACACCAGACCGTGAGTCGCTAAGTTTGGGTCAGGGTCGGGCCGGGGCCGGGCCAACACTGGCTGGGCTGACCTCTCTGCTTTGGCACATGTTCCATATATAACTTTTATTCCCCTTCCTCTACCTTTATTTGCCCTCTCTCGTGCTGTTCTCCTCCATTTATTTCTCTATGATCTGGTGGCATTTGTATATTTTGGTAAAACTGTCTTAAGTAAGTCCTGGAACAAGAAAGTGAATAAACAAGTGACAAAACATTATTTATAAATTAAATTGTGCCTTATATATTGGTAAGCTTGATGGTTAGGGGCAACGTGCGGGGAATCCTTTTGCATTTTGAATAAACTTGTCACTACCTGGTAGGCATCACTGTACAGTGACTTCTGGTAGAGCATTCCAGATGTCACAGTGGCACCTCACTTGTATCTGTGCCGCCTGCGGAGAAGCACAGACCGGGGCGTGGGGGGCCCATGTGTTAACCTGGCAGATGCCTCGCGGCAGTGGAACTGGACAGGCAGGAGCCTCGAGGAGGGCTGGCTAGCTGTGCCTACCATTCGGTTGGACGCCAGGACAGGGGCTCCTGCTTGAGGCCCGGTGACGAGACCCACCTCTGCAACAGCTGTTGGCAGGAAGGCCTCTGGGCAGGGGGAGACACAGAGGGGCTGGCCCAGCTCAGAGTTGGGGAGAACGCTCAGCCCCCTTGTTGGTGCCAGCAAGAGAGCAGAATAGAGTCCTGGCCCAGAGTCACGGGGCCACCACCAAAGAGCAGAGGGCAGGGCTGGCGGGACACCAGCCAGAAGCTGCGAGTTTGGAACCTCGAGGCTCAAGGTCAGGGCTGTGGCTATAATAGACATTTCATTGGGTCTGCATCGTTTATTCAGTCTTTCTGGTATTTGGGGGACAGAGAGAGGCTGTAAGGGAAGGAAGCATCAAGCTATCCAGTCAGGTTCTGGGGTGGAGAGTCAGTTCACCACCCCCCACCCCAACCGCCATGCACACACACACAAAATGGGCCTTTGGTGCCATAGGAACCTCAGACCCAGGTGGGGAGAGAAAGAAACTGCTTACTACACAGCAGATCTGTCTTTCTATCACCACACTGATGGCACCCTCCTGACAACTCCCACTGTCATCGCCATTTTCCAGATAAAAGGCTCAAGGTCACCCACTAATAAAAGTTCCCAAATCCAGGTCTGCCTAGCCCCAGAGCCCTAAGTCCCCTCCCCCATCCCTCACTCTGCTGCACCACAGAAAAATGCCCAGGCGGACGGAACACAGGCATAACCAGAACACCGTCTGTACGGGGCCTCCCAGTCTGCTGCAGACCGTTGTGGCATTGCTGCGGCCTGCTTCGGGGAGGTGCCAGAGGCAGGTGTGATATGGATGCTTATAAAGAACTGTAAGCACATGTCCATGCAGACCCATGCATGACACAGATGCAGAGAAACATGGGTTTGTGCACTCTCCGGTGTACTGACTGGGCTGACCTTACAGAGTCAGCTTTATTCCTCTCCGGTCCCTGCTCTTCCCCAGGCCTCTAGGAATCTGGGGCAGAAGTGGTCCCCAGCCTCTTGTCCAGTGCACATCTCATCCCATCTCACCTCCCCCGCAGACCAGGCTTTTGCTCATGAAGTTGAAGGGCAGGGCAGGCTCTGGAGCCCTCCTCCCTCCCCACTGCCAAGGCCTGACTCTCTGGGGTTGAGGGCGGGGGTGGGGGAGGAATCAAGTGCTGTTGATGCCCCTCCAGGTGACTCCCTGTCCCCAACATGGGGCAGTCAGATCTGGGGGGGGACAGTCCCCCAGTACTGCCCCAGGCTACACAGCCCGTGACTCATTGCTGAGGTCCTCTGCCCAACAGGCAGCCCCTCAGTGGCCGAGTCCACATGATATACCTATTGGAAAAGGCCTGTGCCAGAGCCACACTAGATATGGCCGTGCAGACCACACCATGGCCTGCCCACTCTTGCCGGGGCCTTCCTTTAGGCTCTCCTCTTCCTGCCCCGACACTCACAGGGGGCTGGTTTCTATGGGATGGTGACACCTCTCCTCTTCTTTACAGGAACCCAGCCTTTGTGAGGGACTCTCTTGGGGCACTCTGACCAGGCCCAGGACCCTCACTTGCCAATTCCCCTACCTGTCTTCTTTTAGAGGCAGTGGGTGTGTGGCTAGGGTGCTGGCTAGAGGTTGCAGAGACCTGAGGGAGGGCCCTGGCGCCTTGTGGCACCTATCTCTAGAATGAGGACACTTAACACTTCTTTGTCCACTGTTTAGGCTCTAGCCACTCATCTCTGGACAACAGGGAAGCCCCTTGGCACACCGTGTCACACACAGCCATACATGTGGAAAAGTAAAGACATATGGTGCACACTATACCAATGGTAGCAACAGAAAGGAGGACATTCCTCTCTGGGAGACCTGTCCTCATTGATCCTGGATGGGTGCACCTTCAATGCCAAGGCACTGCCCTTGGACCTTGAATCCATTATGCAGTCGAAAGCTGTCCAATTCTTCCTCCGCTTTCCTGTAGCAATTGTGATCTGACTGCTCCCAGGTTCGGCCCCACATATGTGTGTGTGTGTATGTGCACACACACGTGTATGCACACACACTCCTCATACACACATACCCCCCGCCACATGCACACGGGCACTGGCCTTCCAGTCTTCAGCATAAGTTCCAGAACACTCTGCAGGATAAGGGGCAGCCTCTCTGAGGCCTGCAGCTCTGTCGTGTGGGCCTGCACCAGGGTCAGGGTGCTAAACAAGAGAAGAGTCCTCCTTTTTTCTCATTAGTGGTCCCTGCCCTGCGCTCAAGCAGTGTTTTCTACCAAAGTGCACAGGCAACAAGAAAAACGGTGGATATGGAGACCTCAAACTCAAAGACAGAACAAAGAGCCAGTCCTGGGGAGGCAAGAGAGAAGACTCTGATGCCAGGTCTCACGTGACTTGCACCAGCCGTGGCAGCCTCGTTGCCAAACCAGGCCAGCAAACCATCCCGGAACAAAAAGGCCAAAGAGCCCACGAATCACTGAGCCAGAGAGCCCCAGGGAGGGGAGCTGGTGCTGCCCCAGTGCACAAGGCCCCACACACATGGCTGCCTCCACTTCACCTCTGCGGGCTCCTGGGGGGTGGGGTGGGGAGAGTGGGGAAGGGAGCACTCTGCAAGCCCTTAGTCAGGATCAGGCGTCTGCAGAAAAGCCACTTTTTAGCCGTTTCTGTTCAGAGACAAACCAGCTCACCTCCTCAATGACATTGCTGGACATGGAAGGGGCAGAGAGGAAGGCCTGGGACCCCAGGGCAGGGCACACGGCAGCCGTCGAGGTGCAAGGAATGTGTGGGGGGTGCAGGCTGGCAGAGCAGCTGGGAGGAGTGACCTGAAATCCAGCTTTGGCACTGCTCCTGTGCAGGTCTCCAGCCCCTGGCCCACGTGTGCCCCTCAGCTGTGAAATGCAAGGCTGGACTGGATGCACGCAAGGGCCTGCGCTGCTCCAGCTGACAAGGACACCTTGGCCTCTGTGGTCCCTCCCTTAGCTCTGCTCCCCTTGGATGAAAGTCAGAGCCTCCATGGGGCGGCTGGGTGGCGCAGTCGGTTAAGCGTCCGACTTCAGCCAGGTCACGATCTCACGGTCCATGAGTTCGAGCCCCGCGTCAGGCTCTGGGCTGATGACTTAGAGCCTGGAGCCTGTTTCTGATTCTGTGTCTCCCTCTCTCTCTGCCCCTCCCCCGTTCATGCTCTGTCTCTCTCTGTCCCAAAAATAAATAAAGAACGTTGAAAAAAAAAAAATTAAAAAAAAAAAAGAAAGCCAGAGCCTCCTTCCCGGGTGCATGGGGGGGGGGCGCGGCAGAGGGGACCTGGCATGGCAAACTGTCCTAGGCCTCATGGGCTTGCTGCGTGGAAGCTGAACAAACACAGGCTGTCTCCCTCATGCAATCTGCCCTCAGAAACCTCTAGGAGGTGAGGATCAGAAGTATCTGTGGATGCTGCTGAGGGAACTAAGCGTAGAGCAGTGGGCAGTGAGGCCCAGGCTCCCCACCCAGCCCAAGGCTGAGATTGCATTGTTTAAATGAACCCACAAATTAATCCATAGTATTGATTGTGCTCATAGGACCCATGTTAGAACAGATCTGAAGGACAAAAACCATTTTCCCAAACGATCAGCTCCATGATCCACAATTCACACCACTTCACACCCAGGGATGATGAACTAGGATCTCAGGTATACCTGGTCTGACGCCTTTCTTAACATATGCCCAAAGCCCCGGAGGAGGGGCTCCCGACCGCTGGCAGGCCTGTGATCAGGCTGGCCACGGATGCCTGATGGCCTGCCTTTGGCATTCTCTCACGTGAAAGACATGTGGTGCCATTGGAAGAGGAAGGGGAAGAGGAGGTGAGGCCACACCCCTAGGTGGCCCCCACCTGCTGCACGCAAATCTCATCCCTTCCCAAGTTTATCCCCCCACCTTATCTTAGGAATTCAAGCTTAGCACTGTCCTTCCCACTTTACTCAAAACAGTACAGCCAGCAGGTGTATGGCACTTCCTATGCATTAGGAAGTCTGTCAGTATGTTATTTATACGTTAGCTCCTTTAGTACCCATGTTAAGGGAACCCTTCAAGGTAGAAAGTCTGTCCCCATTCCGGTGATGAGGAAACGGCCTGACAGTGTTCACACAGCTGGCGAGCGGCAAAAGCAGAACCCTAGCCCTTCACGCCGTGGTCCCCAACCACAATGGCCACACCTGGCAGTCAAGAGTCACCTGTTTCCCAGGCGGAGACCCTGGCAGAAGGGGACATGAGCCCAGGCCCGGTCCTCTGCCTCCTCCCACCTGGCTATGTCCCTACACAAAACTAAAAGGACGGGGCAATGAACCAGCTTAAAGTTGTCTCCTTCAACCAAGCTGCGAATTCCTACATCCCTGGCCCTTGGCTTCCATCCCATTCAGCAAGCCCCTGGGAAAGTAAACACACATTTGTCACCCCGACAGCACAATAACGGGAGGAAACCAGGGCCTGCAGCAGGAGCGGACAGGGCACACCACAGCCCACAGAGCAGGGCCGCCAGGCAGGGTACAGTCACTTCCCTCCTGCGTTCCAGGCTCGACCTGCTGCCCTTTAAAGTCAAGGCTGTGGCAGGGACCCAAGTGTCTGGGATGTCTTTCTGGAAAAGTTTATCTGACTGTGGCTGGGCAACCAAATGAAAACGGGACAGTTGCCCCTCACCGCCCAACTGCCTGCCCCCGTTTATCTGGATGTAGCTCGGTTATTACCCATGATGAAAAGACGGGGGTGTGCGGGTTGGCAGTTTCAAGCCCTATTTGGTCAAGTACTGGAGAGACTGGGTCTCAGGGTGGATGGGTGGGCTGGGGTCTGGACAAGTTCTCCCCCAGGAAGGCTGGCATCCCTGCTCTCCGTGGCTCCCCTCGATCTCCGGCGTCTGGCCCACAGGTTACTGACAAAAGTGGCCCAGAAGTAGGTGGCTCTGCTCTGTGTGGCTTCTGCCTGCTGCTCGGGCGGCCGGGTGGCTCTCTGCTACGTGAAGAGGGGCCTCCCATCCCACACAAACGCAGATTCTCACATCTAGCCTGTCACTGTTTCCTCGCTCGACCCAGAGGTGCTGCTGTGGCCCCGAGGCCCTGACGAGCACGGGGCTGTGGAAACTCATTGGAAACTCATGACACGGGCCAGAAGCCCAAACGGCCGGAAGGAGCGTCAGTGTGATCCTGCAACCGGGCTGGAGGACAGAGCCCGCACGCACCTGTTAAAGAGGTTATTGCGGCGAACCATCCGCAGAAAGCCAGTGGGGTCGGTAACCGAGTTGAGCTTGTTGTTCATCTCTTCAAACTGCTGGTCCGTGAGGTCTCCGGCTTCGCTCTCTGTCTCACTGCTGGCACAGGGCCTGCAAGGGAAATCGCGGGGTCAGCCAATCAGAGAAAGACGCGCTCAGCTGTGGAAGTCTGCTCGAGGGCCCGTGCCACTTCCCTGCCCCGCGCAGGCCTGGTACTCAGGGCCTCCCTGAGGCGGCATCGCCCGGTGCCCCCTCGGTGTCCCTGTGGCCCTCTTCCCTCCTCCATCTAGGGCTTCTCGAGATGCACTGTGGCTGGTCGTTGCTGGCTGTCGCCCCAACTTGGCTGTGAGCTCTATCGACAGTAGATGCTGTGCCTGAACCAGTGTCGCGCTCCCGGCATCCAACAGACACCCAAAAGTGCTCAACAGCTGGAGCAGAGTCCGGGTGGGTGTGGCGGTGTGCAAACTCCCCAACCCACGTTCCAGTCAAGCCCATTCCAGAAACGGTAACTGAGAGCCTCACGTGCGCCAGGCACCATGCCGGGCCTACGGGACACACGGCCTGAAAAGGCAATTTCCCCGCAAGGAGACGGATACACGTACAAGTGGCTATAATGCCAGGCAGAGCGGGCACTGTTTGAAATGGAGGCTTGAGAAGCGTTGCTGATTGGGGCCCATTTGGCAAGCTCACCATGAGGAGACTACAATTTTCAAATTAATAAATTCATATTTCCCCTGTGACAGACTGCAATAGAACATCTACAATGGGTTTTAAATAAACAGAAATACACAGGAGTGCCTCGATTCATCAGCACGATTAAAATGACAAAAGGCTTATGAACTGTAAACGCTGAGTACTTGTGGCCCAACGTGACCCAGAAAGTGGGCGAAGGAGCGAGTGCATCTGAGGCAGCGCTGCCCATCTGGGGCCCGTCCCCCTCACACCTCACAGGTGTCGCCACACCTCATAGGGCCTTGAGGCTGATACAGCAGCCCTGCCTGCCCGCCTTAGCATAAGAGTCACACTCAGACTTTGTGCTGCCCAGACAATGACTCTGTTTGAGGTCTCCTGCTGACTAAGAACCAGGGTGGAAGAGAGGAGGGCATCAGGGCCCTGGAGGAAGAAGACAGCCGCCAGGCACAAACCTCTCAATGCTGCAGAAGTGGGGCCTAGAGAGGGATGGGCATCCCGGAATCCAGAGGGAACAGGCTCTGCACATCAACACGTGGGTTTAAGGTGACCTTGACCTGCTTAAAACAGGCTGGTGAACCTGTGACATCAGAATGTCATGACAGGAAGGGCAATGAGCCCCTCACTGGGTCGTTATGGAGCCACACAGTGTGAGAAGCTGCCCGAAAAGCCTGAATGCTCTGTGTGAATGTTAAGCCTGGTGTGATGGGCCAACTTGACTGGGTCCCCCCGGGATGACTCTGGGTGTATCTGTGGGGGTGTTTCTGGATGAGGTTGACATCTGAATCTGAAGACTGAGGAAAGCAAACTGCCCTGGCCACCGTGTGGGAGCCCCGTCCAATCCGCTGAGGGCCTGAACAGAACACAGAGGCTGAGTAAGAGAGAATTCCATCTCTCCCTGACTGTCTTCAAGCTGGGCCATTAGTCTTCTCCTGCCTTCAGACCTGGACTCAGACTGGAACTTACTCCATTGGCTCTCCTGAGTCCCTAGCTTGCTGATGGCAGATCTTGGGACTTCTCGGCCTTCTTTACCATGTGAGCCAATTTCTTGAGTGTGTGTGTGTGTGTGTTGCCCTATCCGTTCCATTTCTCTGGAGAACCCACACTAACAGCCGGTAATTAGGCACCAGAGCCCCGATTCAGCCATGTTCCTTACAGAAGGTCGTGCAAAGGCCTGGTCCCTGGGAAAGGTTCCCAAGGACTGAAGCCCTAAAGGGAGTGGAGCAGTCTTCAAAGACAGCACAGAGGTATGCTTTGCGGGCCAGCTACTCGGCTTCACCCCAGAACCATGCCAACAGCTGGTACAGCCATTAGCCCGCTCTCCTTCCGGGCGCACACTATCTGGACAGCACTTCAAAGCCAGCACTGGTGAATGAATGAATGGCGTGAGCCAGAGAGCACTTCTTAATATGCAAAGTATTCTCCATTTTATTGTCTGTGACATGGCTCTTCTTGTCTCCAACTTACTTCTGAGGAGACTGAGTTCAGAGAAGCCAAGGAACTTGGCCAAGGAGCCCCAAGTGGTAGAGCCAGGCGTGAGCCCAGGTCTTAGGTGTCGCCTTCCCCACTCATCCTCTCCCCTCTAAGGCTCCAGGCCTGTCACTCCCAGCTGGCGTTTGGCTAGGTGGGGGCAGGGGTGAATATGGGAAGCAAGAGAAAGCAGGAACCATCTGAGCACCTAAACAAATCACCCTGGCTTCCACCCTGCTGGAGAGCAGGGAGTGAGGTTTAATTCCTCTCTCCGCCCACGGGCAGCAGCTGAACAGGCGAGCAGCTGAAGGTTTGAAATGCTCCCTTGGGGGCCGAGGGCCCTTCACAGAGACCCTGGTAAATATCACTCAACAAGCTCCTCTGTCCAGGGACACATTCATCATCTGAATGCGACTGCCTGCTTGGAGCTGAGAAATCTGCTTGTCATTCGGTGCTTTGCAAAAGGGAGAAGAATTGGCCGGAACCAGTATCAGCCTCCATTATCTTGCAGTTCCACTCTTGCTGTCAGCCGCAGACAGAGCCCTCAGAATCTCATGCTTAATGGGGTTGTTTCCTATTTTCTGACCCTTCAGAGTATTAACACCGAAGGGAAAAACAAACAGGCGATGTCACAGACAAAGGAATCTTCCATGTACAAAACAAGCCTCGTCTCTACAGCAGGGATCCCAAGAGTGCCTTCGTGTCACAGTCACCACCGCCACCCCCCATCTCTCTGAGAGACCTTCTAGAGATGGCACGTCACCTAGTCCGATTCCATTCACTCTGACTCCACAGATTACTGGGCAGGACCCATGTGCAAGGACTGCAGAGGCTAAACAGAGGAGGGTCACACCATACCTGTCTTCAAGGCACTTATAAGCTCATATGACTAGTGGCTACCAGCTAAGGTGGATTATGAAGGAGCACATGGAGGGTACCAGCCTACGACCAAGACAGGGAGGGCATAAAAGAATCTGCTGCAGCTGAGAGGCATCTTGAAGAATACAACTTTGATAGGTAAAGACTTGGGGGGAGTGCTTCCTGGCACAGAAAGTGGGATGAGCAAAGGTGTGGAGACAAGGTAGTGTGGGGGCTCTTTGGGGCCAAGGAGATAGTCCAGCTGAGCTGGAGCAGAGGGTACGAGTGGGAGAGGAGGAGGAATAAATGGTGGAGGGCTTGGAACTTGGAAGGCAGTTGAGAACTGTCAGCCCAGGCCTCTGAACATGGGGTGATGGGCTCAGGGCTGCTTTTTTGGGAGACAGTCAACAGGCCCAGAGAGGAGAATGTGGGATAGTTGGGTGGCTATTACCAGCACCCACTCAGAAGCAGCCCTGAAGGCCCAGGGTTAAGCTCACTGAAGCCTGATCAGCCCCGGGAACCCACCAGAAGCCCCATTCTTGGGAGCTACTGTGCTAATAATACATTAAGGTGCCTGGGCTTCAACAAGCCAGGTGAAGTGAGTTTTCCATAGAGCTCTGGGCTCTGAAATCTTGATAGGAGCTCCTTCTTCTGCTCTAAGCCTCTGTTCCCTGTAGAAACAGACTGTCTGGGCTGGCTCCCCCGACTTTTGTTTCTCTATATTGTCACCAACATGGTTCTGGCTTGTCCTGTGGTTGGGCCAGCCCCGTTAGTCCAGACATATGAACTAGGGTGGCAAGGTTAAACTGACAGGAGAAATGTTACTAGAAAGAGAACTTATTTGCCTGGGCAACTCACGGAAGGGACAAGTAGCAGTTAAAATATGGCGGATGGGCAACTGGTGGCAAATGGAGAAACTGAAAGAAGTTGGTCTTAGGGGGAAGAGGAGTGGGTTCAGTTTGGACATGCTGAACATGCAGACAAGAAGGGTAGTTGGTGACACCAAGTATACAGATGTTGACTCAGTTATTTAGACACTTCCTTCCAGAATGCCTGTAGGCTATGGAAATCCAGGTCTGGTGCTCAGGGGAGAGGTCAGGATCAACTCTCTGATGCCTCATTCATTTGTTCACTCAACAAATGTTACTAAGTATTTTTTATAAATATCCTGCTATACTGGGTTCTGGCTCCAGGTAAAACAGAGTAAGCACATTCCACCCCATCCTTCCTGCTGGATACAACTCTAAACCATGGATAGACTGCATGAAACAGCTATCTGAGGAATGTGAAAAGTAAATAATATCAGGCAGATTGGGGAAGAAGACCAGAAACTAAAGTGCCACCAAATCAATAGTGAGCTTCACATTGTTCTGTCTCTGGAATCCCTCAGCCAGGTCTGCATGCAGCCCAAAACACAGAAGTGGGCATCAGTGGGAACAGACAAAGCTCTGGGAGGAGCCCTATATTTCTTACTCAGAGAGAACAGAAAAAAGCCACCCCTTTTTCTTATTCTCTCATCTCTGTTCTCATGTTCTAGGCCACAAACGTTCCTGAGTTAGTAGTGGCAGTGAGAGCAGCAGTGAGGGCGGGAAGGAGTCCAACTCTAAGGGAAAGGAAAACTTTGGGTGTAACCGGAGGAAATGTGGCCCCATAAGGGCAGGGTAACCCCTCTGCTTTTTCTCTTCCTTTCTCCCACTGACCCTCGGTCCATGATGTGAAAGGCCCTGCAGGAAAGGTGTAGTGAAGGGGTGGGGTGACAGTGTAAATAAAGCTCCAGCTTTTTGATGAGTGGGCCAACAAGAAGAGCCCTGGGGAATTGAAAACCACTGGTGACAACACAGGGAGGAATTGAGGAAAGGGAACACATATAGTTGTTTATGAATTCCTGGATTCACCCCAAGTTGCACATGTATAGATCTGACCCTAAAGATTATGAGAACCTAAACACAAGATGGACCGCTGCCCAGTTCCTGAACAGGCCACTGAACAGTGCACCTGTGGGGCAGACTTGAGGAGCATGGTAAAAACTTTGAAAATGGAATTTACAATGAAAGCTGGTCACAGCTTATGACCTGAATCCCAACTGCCTACCT